CACATGGGTGCTGTATTTAAGTGAAGCCCTAATTTTAAAGTGTAAGCAATTAAGAGGAAGACTTTAATATGGGCTCAAAATAAATAATTGCATGAGCATCACCTTCCTATTGGCTGTTAAGATGCTGCCATTTAATTATTGGGGCACATGCCTCAACGGATCATATAAATGTTAACTGCGAGAATAATCCTTTTTTTTTCTTAAAGAAAAGTTTAAGGGGAGATTGACTACTCTCACAATCATCGTCAGGATAGATTCATAACCTCGAGTCGGAAGAACTTTATGCATGGCATCCAATTGCTAGCTGCTATCGGCATGGATTTATGTAGGAAATTACAGATCTCACACCAATGAGGATTGCTGGCAGTGGGACTCAAATACTAGTGAAGCTACACACAATGCAGGGACCTTATCAATTGAAGCAACCTTCATTGACCAAGAATAATCCCTTAACAACCATATGTATCATTCATATTTTTAATTAATTAACTAATGATCTTAAAAATAAGTCATAACACATATTTTTTAGGGTCAGTTGGTTGAGCTCTTACACCTCAACTCGCGGAGAAATGATCTTATTATCATAGTCAGCATACAACAAATTCAGTGAATATATGATTGGTTCTGAGATTGAGGCTTGGAGCTGTACGAAATAAAATATCACCATTACCACATAAATGATATATTACATGTCAATTTGGAAGATTATGTTGGTGAGTATAGAAGTTGAATTTTAATAGACACAACTCAGTGGGGAAATTATTGTTGTTTGAAAAATCTACACTAGGAAGTAGGGAACATATCAAGTTCAATAGTGTGACAAATGTTTGTTTTTCTAGGGGAAAATGATAAATATATTAATCAATGGAAACTTCAGCTTGGAGTGAAGGAAGAAGCCAACCAGAGTTTTTCCCTTTTGAGAAGAAAAAAATAGTGTTTTTTTTTCCCTCTTTCGGTGTTGGGATAAGATTAAATTTTGGATGAGTTTGAATTGGTGCCGCACACAGCTGAAAACATAACCGAAATGAATCTCATTAGGTCATGATATGCCTTATACGGCTGAAAATTTTGGGGAATCTCATAGGCCGCATGAAGGCATAATGCCATCATACTCTAATAGCCTACAATGAATATCAAGCTTCCTCATTTATGCTAAGCTCAGAAGCTTGTCTAATCTAGTATATAAAGCTTTGCAATACATGTATGCCGTCAAATATTTTGTCCAATTTGTCATCTTCCAAAATAAGAAGAAGTTAATGGCGGAAACCGAATCGGTTGAACCTAAATTCGTATGTATCACAAATAAAACTGAGTCATGTGGTGCCTATTTCTATCAGAAAAGTGTTACGTTCGGTCGAGCCTAAATTCGTGTGCATCACCGATAAAACTAACTGAATGTAGCATTTCTAGCATGCACTCTATATGCTAGGGGACCCCCCCAGCAATAGGGTGTGGTCGCACGGATGCATGCCACACATGATAGGATGGTGCATGCAAAGAAAAAGAACCACGTACACAACACACACTGACAGAAAACTTGTGATTGTTGGAGATTCCGTAGCTAGCTGTTATGTTGTATGTTGTGGCTGAAACCAGTTTTAATTTTCTGTACCCAGATGGACAGATCGGAATGCGACCCACTGCTTATTTGGTTCTCAATAGTTATTGTTCTGTACTTATTTGCTAGGTTGCTAGAAGAACTGCACGTTCTTCCCTTATTGAACAGTCACTTCCTTCCTCAGTTTTGGTTAGTATGTTTTTGTTTGTTTTGGAGATCGAACCAAACAAGTGTTTAATTGCATGGCTTCATTTGGGGAATTAATTGAGAGCTTTATAGTTAGGCGAACCCTATCAAGAACCCTCATGATCATCAAAACTTCAAAATTCTACATCAATAATTTTGAGATATTGAAATTTGAACCAAACTAATCGGGCAATTTAAGTTTTTTATTTTTGTTAAATTCAATTGAAATAGTCCAATTCAGTCCGAGCCACAAAACATAGAGATTACTAATGAGTTTTTATTTTTAGAAAGTGGAGTTTCATCCTTAAATAAGATGTTCTTTTCTTAAACCTTAGTGTTAGATTAGGTTTTGATTTTTGCAATCTTATCGAAGGATGAAAAGTCAAATTTTCCTGATTTTTATATTTCCGATTCAAGTAAGGGAACTGATGATAGAAGGCAAGAGTTCAACTTTGTGTGTAAGAAGCAACTGTTCTAGCACTAGCTAGAAGTATTGAAACCCACCGAACAATGGGATATCTGCAAGAAAAGAATGTCATTGAAAACAACAGGCATGACATTCTGATGATAAACGATGTGTCTGTGTTTCCTCTATTGTCAATTTCACAAAGGGTGCTTCTGTTTGGTGTCTACCCCTTTTATTGTTAATTTCATTGTGCCCCCCATCTGAAAGTTAAACAAGAAGACAAGTTATGACCCTTCGTGAATAGACAATTAAAGACAAGTGACGTTTGAAGAAATTATTTTCATTTACCCCCTTTATACCCTACACACATTCGCCTTACTGCATTGCACCACCACGTGCCATCCAGACATGGTGTTTCTAATCAACCTAAATTATAACATATGGACGTTTATTATACCGTAAATTATAAACTCATTTTGCACCACGACGTGTTATAATACGGGATCACATAATAATTTTGTGAAAATTTGAAAAGTAACCAAATTTTGAGTAGTCCACATATTGCAAGAGCAGCACGCAGTAGGCTGCTCTCTATTTGGATTTTGGACCCGCCCACAATTTTCTTTTAAAAGTAAGCAATATTATAATTTATATGAACTACCAAGTTGAAATTGAAGGGACATATATATATCATTATCATTATGTATGCAAAGCCATGAAACGTGCCTTACTTGAAGGCTTCTCATATAATTATGTGAATATTTTTGTCAAATTAATGAAAATAATCATGCATGAGATAGTCAAAAGCACCCACTATCAAAGTTGATGGTGGGAATTAAATTAAAAATCATGATAATTGAGACTAAAATATTTTAAAATAGAATTCGTCTCTCTTTGTTGAACTTAATTTCTCCAACTAACATTTGCTAACCACTCCAACTCCCCCCATATAATATATTTTATAGGAACAGGAGGACCAAAAGAATATATTTGCATGCATATTCACATGATGTTACATCTCAAATTCATTTGTTTAGTCAACACTACTCTTTTCTATCTAGATCAGATGAGATCAGCTGAAATCTTGGATTTCATGTTGTCATGCATACCAAAATTTCCAAGCTCCTTTCATGTTGTCACCTTTGCTTTTTTGACTATAACGACATTGACAAGTCGAGTTTTTCTGTTCTTGCTAAAATGGGTGCGTTCGTTTTTTTGCATTAGTAATTGAAGGAATGGGCATAGATTTGGAGGCAGGTAATGGGTTTTGATTTCCCTGCAGATGCGAATTCAGTGGCAGAGGGAAAGCCAAAATATTCACAGAAAAAGGACAAATTGAATATGTCCATTTGCAAGCGATATTGAGGGAGGGGACAATCAAACTTAGGATCTCATAAGGATAAATATTTTTAACCACTCGAGTTACAATTGAGTACTTCAAACAATATTACATATAGCCCAAGAAAAATATTTGCCTGAAATTAATTAAAAATTAATTTATGTGTATTATATTAATTTTTTATTTCAAGTTGTCACTAAAAAATCATGTGTCACATCATCATATGAATCATTTATGGATCAAGTGTGGGTTTGCCAAACAAATATATTTTGTGGGCTTGTTTCTGGTGTACCAGCCAGAAGTCCAGATAAATGATCTTTTAATTTGGAGAGGACAGAAGAGGAACAAAGATCTACTCGGCTGAAACGAATTTCAACAAGGCAAAGATTATGTCGATAAGAGATATAATATATTCTAAGATAATACAAGAAATGGAATAAGGGGCCCAGTTCATCAATGATTTGTTGACTCGATGCATGCATCACCCATAACCTTGTTGACTGAAAAATTTAGCACGTAAAAAAGTTATACCATGTGATCGTACTATCCTATAAAATAATTCCTCTGAATGCTTCTCTTGTGCACCTATCTGTCTTTCTATGTTCTTTTTCAACCAAACATGAGTTTGAGAATTTACGTAGCCCCTCTAGGCCCAGGAGCATTCATGGCTAGTTGTTTGGTTTTGGGCCATTGTCCCCATTTGCACCATACGATACAGAATATATACATTTACAAATAAATGAATGCAGCTCTTATGAAGATGCCCTTCAGTGAAGTGACCTTTGATTGAACTCACTCCTAACAAACAAGACCTCCCAACGAACAGCTCTGTTCTTATGCAAAGCACAAAGTTACAAAAACTATAGACCCTGCAAACTGCTTAATAATTAGGTCATCCAACCCCCGTCATTATCGGCCAGTTCCGGAATTCAGCCTTGTAATATCACCTGCTCCCAGCTGAGATTTTCAAAATGAATTTTCATTTCTACTATTTGAAACCTTAAATTTGAGATAAATACAGCATTCAGAGAACCGAGTCAAAAATTGAATAATATAAGTGGGGTCTCGGATAGGTGATGGAACACACGAGGCACAAAGAACAGAATGACAGATAACTTGGGAGTCTTGGAGATCCTAGATCACACACACATACATAACGAGGTTCACAAACAATTGGCTCTTTACAAACTTAAGGATCCTGTGTGAGAACAGGAACCTGTGCACATAGAACTGCAGAGGTTACTTCCAGATACAAAGGTTTTGAGTTTCAGTAGTTTTACGAACGTTGACAAGTTAGAAATAGAAATCACAAAAACATGAATCCATGGCAAACAAAAAAATACACAGATGTAGTAATAATATAGTAAAGCAGCCACCGGTGATGTCCCATCCAGCCCCACACTCAACAAATCCTTGCACTCCAGATTATCTGGTTGCTGCGGTTGTAGGCCTTGCCTTCATTCCAAATTCATAGACTGCTAGATGGAAGGCATCACAATGCATATTACTGGCTAGTTCCTGTTCCTGCACTTCTCCATGGACCTTGGAGCTGCATATAAAACCAAAGCAAATAAATACATAGACAAATAAACAAACGGACAGATATATAAACAAATAAAAATCTCTACGAATCAACCTTGATTATAACTAGAGTTAAGCCAAGAAGGAATATGCATATGCTGAGTTTGAAACTTTGAACTCACCAAGGTAACCAGAATAAAGATTTTGTAGAACGAAACTATAGTAAGTTTGAACATGGGCCATATGACAACGAGAATATTTAGTATTAATTTTGTAATTTAGGAAAAATGATCCCCCCATTCTAGAATCAGATCTCAACTATGATCCAATATGCATGTAAATTTCACCGTCTCATAGTGGGATGTTAAGCAAAGAAACCCTAACAGTTTATCATTCATAACGATGACATAAGGAACTTCGACATGTCAGAAATTGATTTTAGCAAATTTCAGGACCTGAATTATGAATTGAATGAGAGCAAAAGGTCTAGAAAAACATTTTCACACAGCAATACATACATTTCTTTACTATGGCTCCCTTAGTTTTATTTTGATTCTTTAATTTTTTTAAATTTATATAATTGTAGGTAATTATCAAACTTAGACTAAGCAAAGTTACTTGCAAATGTGAGTTAGCCTCATTAGAAAAACTGCTGCTAGCTAGCCATGTAGGCTTTATCCAACCCGAACTCGTTAGTGGGCCCCACCCAACTCAACCCTCATAATAGGAGCCTGAGCCAGATGCAATCCACTTACCCTGTCTAAGGCAGGCTTCCAGCTCTCCCAACTACAAAGAGAAGACAGCCTAGCGCTACTGCTACTAGGCAAGAAGAGCTAACAGCTAATACATTCCTATCACAAGGCATGGTCTGGCCCAACCCACAGGCAACCCTTACATAACCCCCTACTTCCTAATTCCTTTAAAAAAAAACACAAACAACTCAAAAGAAGTGCAAATTGTTGTGACTTGTGATTTCCTCGTACTGTAGTAACAGGAGAGTGCTAGCTATCTTCCCTCTTGCCTTCCCCATTCATTTTGTGCCACGTGTATTACACTCACACATAAATCTATGTATTTAATGCAAAGTACTAATATTTTGCTTGTAAAGAGAACAAAGAATTTTGGAACATATTAAATACATAGATTTATGTGTGATTGGAATACACGTGGCACAAAATGAATGAGGAAGGAAAAAAAGGGAAGGCAAGAAGGGAAGGTTGCTAGCATTTCCCAGTAATGTAAAACTTCAGTTCTGATTATTTGTTCAATTTATTTATTTACTAATGGCATACATCATAATCAGCACCTAACTAGTTCTATTATCGCAATCCTGACAAGGTAAAGTTCAAAAGTTAGATAAAACTACAACTCCTTGATAATATATGTTATCTATGGGATTATATAGCTGGAGTAAAAGCAGTAGAGTACGTATCTCAATTGTGGGAGGAAAAGCTGTTTTAATCCTGTAATAGATCATAATTAAAGGAATCAACGGAACATATAATATACGCACCTAGGCCAATGGCGTCTGAACTCTTCATAATCCTCATCCTTTTGCAGGTATCAATGAACATGCTGCCAAAGTCCAAATTTTCAATCAGATTTTAAATTTAAAATATAAAATGCCTTGGAACATATTCAAAATTCAGAACACTACATATTAACTTCACTGAAGCAATATGACCTGATGCAAAATAGCAATTAAATGGACATTGACACATAGTAACATAACAGCCTATGGAAGAAAATTAAAGCACACCAACCATGATACCCATATTTTCAGACATCAGAGGTCAATCCTAATAAAAGAAAACAGATCACATCTCTCTCTCTCTCTCTCTCTGAACAAGAGTCTCCTTTGTGTCCATACACATGACTAATATCAAATTCTATGGTTTACACATTACAATATCACATTTGTCTTCATCACTCGCAGGTTCATCAAATTTTCACGTGTTTTTCAAGTTCAAGCCATCCAAGTTAATATGAAGATGATGGCCGTGATCTAAGGTTCGAATAGAATTACTTAAATGCAAACTTTGATGTCACTGAGGTCTTTGGCAATTCTTTACATAATGTACTTTCACTAAATGACCTGCACGCTACATATGAAGCTCATACACACAACCCATGCAAGATACCTAACAACCATCCATGAAAAATCACCACTTCATGGACTTTGCAGAATTTCAAAATCAATTCAGCTTGTATATTATAGCCAAAATAGCACATAGCCAGCTCTTCTTCTTAATACTAATTGTAACTCTGATATCGGCCTATGCAAAAGACATGACAGTTTTTAAGCTTTTGTATCAATAGTAAGTCAATTGTGTACATAGAAAAAAGCAATTAGTAGAGAAACATATGTGCAAGTAAATGACAACTTACTTCCAAGGGACATCACCCACAAGCATCCAATCACCATCTTTGTCCTCGTAAGTTAGAACATATTCTGAGCCATGAAGCAAATCTTTCAGCTTGCTTTCGCTAATCTCTCTGCCCGGAGCTCCATGAGATCCATATTGACCTGAAATCATACCAACAGAGCAGTAACTGGATCCATGCAAATGCAGCAACTTTGGAAATTAAAACTCAGAATTCAGCATAAATTACATAACTATAAACAAATAAACTAAGGCATTTGTATAACAATTGAATCTTTGCAATAACTCACCTATGGTAAAACAACTGAACATCTTTTCCAGAGCAGAAGAAAGTTCCTGGTATGCAGAGTAATTTTTCAAATCTACTTTCCTCAAATAAGGAGCACCATCCAAGCTGACCTTGACAAACAGAGCACCAGGCCCTGATTTTCCCTCTACTTCCTCAGTGTTCTTTGATGTAGTGGCCAGAGTTTGCCTCCTAAATGATCTTATAGGTGGCCAACCCACAACCTGTGCCCTAACATACAAGGAAGCTGAGACTCCATTTTCTTTGTTAAGGCAGAAGCTATGGCCAAAAACAATATTCAATGCTACAGATAAACTTTTTGAATCACTTACTTGGTAGCAGGTGCACTGCTAGTACTATTTCCAGATCCATTATGATTCGGTCTGGTTTCATTGACAGCATGGGGCCTCTCTTGTACTATCTTTGCTGGTGCAACCTCTTTTGTTTTGGCTGGTTGAGTCACAAGGTTCTCAAGTCCAGAACCAGTTTTCAATCCCAAGTTTGGAGAAGTCCTGGGTGACAGCAACAAGTTTACCTCTGAATTAGCATATTTCCCCTGCATCACAAATATGGCCGTTGTAAAGCCTGACGTGATCCTAAAATAAATAAACAGATCCAATTCTCTTTCATACAAAGCAGTTGTTTTTACCTCCGAGAACCCATCCATAGCATCAGAGAAACCTCTCTTGTTGCCTGAAACAACTGTTTTCTGCAATGAAGAGTAGTTGCCATCCTTTATAGGATGCAACGGGAATAGGGGTTTCTCATCAAGTTGAGTGGAGATTAGCCTCAGTTCAGAGTCTCTCTCAGGAGACTGGGATCCAGGAAGCCCAAGTCTAAGGTCTGTAGCCTTCAGATTCAGACTACTTTTACTTCCACCAGAGACAGTAGAGACTTTCGAACTGTCTACCGAAGAGCAATCGGATAATCCCATGTAATTTCGCTCCTTCAATTCCGAGCTATTGTGGCATACACTCTCCATAGAAACCGAGGAAGACAATAATGTAACATCACTGTGACCCTCCTCCTCCTCCCCAACACCAAGCAGCGGTGGTGACATCACAATTCACAATGAACAACCCTCCAAATTATATTTGAAGCCTGCTAAATGTTAAAGCTTCAGAAAACACCAATCAGAATCTTAAAAAATGGACGAAGCAAAAAATAATGCATTCAACAACAGCTGTCTACCCTTAATGAGAAAACAAATCCAGTAGAGGCAGCCAAAAGATTCAACTTGAAACTTCCCTGACTTAATCAAGTGTCCCTTAAAATAAAAATAATCTTGTTTTGTGCATTAGAACCATGTTACAAGCAAAACGCCAAAAAAAAATTAATTACAATGGAAATTTCAGCATATTCTCAGATCACAATTAACCAGTGGATACAATAAAATAAATACAAATCGTGAAGCTTGAGGTTTTGTCAATCTTTACATCCCTGGTAAAAGGATTACATATTTAATAAATAGACTGAAATATTACCACTTCAGCATAGAATTTATTTCAGGTCAGAGAACTGGAGAAAATTAAAGACTAATCTGCGAATCAAGTTGCAATCATCACATCTATACAGATTCAAAGGCCAAATCACAGTCATATGAGAGGAAAACATAAATTTAAAATAAACAAATAAAAAAGGATGGTGGGTTTTACAGATTTCAGGACCAAAGGATTTTAGAACTTAAATGAAGATGGCTTCAAATTTATGAGCCTTGACTCTGTGTTCCATAAATAAAAGGGTTCTGTTGGAAGAAAAAAAACACAAAATATTCAAGCAAAACCCTGCCTAGCAAAAGAGACACAAAATGAACCACTTCTAATGTAAAATTAAATGCATGTAAATAAAAAAAATTAATACGCGTTACTTTTATGGGAGCCAAACAAAAATTTCAAATAAAAAACAGAGACCCAGAAATAAAGACCAAGAAATTCACCACAGGGAAAAGAAAAAAAAACTCAGAGCATACACAAAAATAAAATAAAACCAAATATTTATGCTTTGCTGAAAAGTGATGACAGAGAAACTAAACAAAATTATAACCATTAAAACTAAATCCGTGCATTTTGTGAGACTAGGGAGAACAAGAAAAAAAGCCTTGAAATCTGGAAACTAAACTACTCACTGCGCAAAAAGAGTAAGATTAAAACCCAATGTTACCTTCAGTTCCTTCCCTTCAAAGTCCGAGCTACCAAAAACCAGGGCAGAAGAAAGGAAGAGAGAGCTGAAACCAAAACAAAAAAGAAGAAAAACCACTGTCACTGAAAGTGAAGATTACCCAGAAACCAAAAAATTTCAAAACGAAAAAAGAAAACAAAAACAAATCTGATTGAATATTGCAAGTGAAGTAGAGGAGCTGATAGGAGACTAAGGGGAGTTTACCTGAAAAGATTGGGTGGATCAGTGGCTGAAGAAAATGAGAAACGACTAGAAAAACAGAAAAGAAAGCAAGCAAATTTGTGATTGAAGAAGAGGTCTTTGATTTAGCTGACAAGAAGCTGAGAGTCAGAGAGAGAGAGAAAGCTAAGGACCCTCCATACGGCACAAAGATACAGAAGCTTAATTTGCTGTCCGAAGTGAACCTCTATGCATTAAAATAAACATTCAGACCAACAAAAAAAAATGCATTAAAATAGCCACTTTAATAAAACAAAGTGTCTCCCAAAAAAAGTTAAAATTTTGTTTTTTTTTTTTTTTTTTTTTTTCTTTTTTTTCCTCCTTTTTTGGGCCCCCCTTTTGTTTTTTTTTATTTCTTGGTTCAGTTTGGTTTTATATTTTATTCCTCTTTTCACTCACCAAATCTGTATCTTGTTCCTGTTTATTGTTTATAAATTATGTTAGTACGAATAAAATGGTATAAGTGTGTAATTTTTCCATGGATAAGTTTTTTTTCAATAAACATAAGAATAGAATCGAATTTGGAACCTCAATATTAGAAAGACAAGTTTTTTTTAATTATATAGGGAACGAAGATTCGAATTTTGAAATACCTTCCAGTAGTACATAAAATAAATGTAACTATAAAATAAGAATGATTTTTTTTAACACAAGTAATAGTCTAAACAATAATGACTTATGAGGGTTCGAACCTATGACCATTGGTCTGCAAATCAAAGTTATTTTTCAGTAAACCAGACCTCTTGGGCATTGATAAGATTGTTTTAATTCTATAACGTATGATTCACTATGTTGTTGTTATGAGGCCTCAAGCTAAACACAAAATATATGAGATTGTTTTGAGTGAATGTGCTTTAAAAATACTAACTTTTCTTTTTTCTTCAATGTTTGACTTAAAAAGTTTATTTATAGAAAGAATATAATATTTGTTAAAGGATTTAAAGTTAAAGGCAAAATGACAACAAAAAAATCGTTAGTTAGTATGTGATTGTCTCAAGTGATTATAACTTCAATGCTAGAGCAATTCTTATTTGACTCTCCCCATTCTCCACTTAAATTAAAAAAAAAAAAGAAAGAAAAGAAAAAAAAAAGGATTAGGTTTTTATCTATTGCATTCAGAAAAAGTTAAATCAAATCGTTATAAATTAGTTTTGTATCAATTAGCATTTAATTTAGTAATTTTTTTTTTGCAATGTCGAAAGATATCTTAAGTTCAAATTTCAACCCGGCGATCCTGAAGCTGAATCCAGATACATGATGGGATGAGAATTTGGTAAGCCATCAGATCATAGCATCCTATCATCGTATGGTCCTAAATAAAGCAATATTCCGTGAGGAGGAGCCACATTGTTTTTTGACAATTACACAGCAGCAACTGCGACTGCACTGCATACACGGATATGGATTACCTGAAATCAATTTTGGATTTTTTTAGTGCATTTCACGACTGGCACAAGCACTTTTGTGGATAGTATATTTGGACGCCCACTCTGTCCCTACCCAGGGGCAAATTCTTCTTTTCACCTCCTTTTCCCATCAATCAAAAACTCAAAAACTAAGGACGTGTCCCATATCCACTGCCCTAAATGGTCGTTTTCCCATCTTTGTTCTAGATAACTTATTTCTTATGGGAATCTTTTTGTTTTTTGTTTTTTTATTATTTTATTTTATTTATGTCCTGCCCTAAAACCATTTGGGAATCATACTGTCCTACAATTTCTGGGCAGTGATTCCTATTCTTTCATTAAACGTGGAAAAGACAGTTTTGCCCAATAAATTATGTTACGGCTTTTATTTTTTGTGAATGGGGGATGTAATCATACTGCCTTCCAATTTCGAAATACGGGAGGCCATCCACCCTTCCTAGAGATATAAAAATTAAAAACAAAAAATCCATAATTTAATAATTAGTTATAAAAAAAATATGGAAGTGTTATTGGCATAAGTCGTCGTCATGCATTCCTCATCTTCTGTTTGTAAAAACATGAAAAAGAAGTATATAAAAAGAAATTAGGTGTCATATCGGGATTTGAACCTGAGAATTAGTCTACTAATTAAGACTTTTTTATTCTTTATAATGCACATAGGACCTTCTTAGAATGCCGATGACAATTTCTTATTTTATTAAAATTTTCCATGTCATTGTCTTATCCTTCATAGTTCATATCATAACTCTTGTCAAATTACGCATACATCGCATACACACTTTACACATCATGTGCAAGTCGATTTTATGTTTGTGATCTTTCTAACTATACACAAACAAAACTAAGAAGGTAATTACCACTAAACATGGCAACATCGTGATTATGAAATACAAAGGAAATCACAATCACCTTTCATGTGTAGCCAAACATTTCATAATTCAACCACCGCACTCATTACTCTCCCTATTCTAAACAGGGAAGAGATTCCCCTTCTGATTGAACCATGTTACATGCAAATCCCTATTTCAGTCCCAAAAACACCCCCCAACACAACACTCACATGCATGACTTTGAATGGATCCCACACACTGCATCTCACATGCGCTCTATGCACCCAACCGGGGCCCACCATGCATTAGAAGGGCAAATTAGGAAAAATTCCATCATGATTTCCTATATTTGGTACATACAACTTGATGCCTTTGTGAAGGTGGTTTGGCATTGGAGAGGGAATTGTATTCAATAATTTTGTATTTGCATATGCGTCGAGAATTTTGGGAAAAACAAATATTTTTATTAATAGCCTCTGAGGTTTTGACTTTTTTCTCAAAAGTCTTTAAAATTTCAAAAACTATGTTAACACCTTATGAATTTCCAAATTGTTTTCGTAAAACTCAATTTGTTAATTTCCATCCAAAATTAACAAAGTTAACATAAAATATTAGATTCATAGTGTTGATGTACAAAATTGATTAAACTTTGAAGTTCTCTAGCCTTCGGTCGAGGGCGTCCTACGACATGTGGGGACTGATATGTAAGGAAAGGGCGAAAAAGGTGAAACCCTAAACACCAATGTGGTATTGGCTGAAGAATATCCGATTTTTAAGTTAGCACAAGTGTTGCGTATAGAGATATTTTGATAAAGTAACAATGCATGTGTGAAAATAGTATTACCTGGTGCATTAGGATGAGCGTCCTATTTAAGTGGCACGACATGTGCCATTCTTAAGTGGCTCGACAAGTGGGCTTGCCTAGGGCTAGTCCCCGTGCCTAAGACAGGCATATCCCCTAGTCGTTAGGTTAGTTAATGAATAACTTTGGTCGGGTGCCATTTTCCTTGTCTTGTACTTGCCCAAGGGGCATGGTCAAGTATGGTATAAACACTTATTATGCTCTTGAGGTCTAGTCATTGATGTTAATTTTGTCACTTGATTGCTTTATAAAAAAAATTACATGAGCACTTTTCCGAGGAAAAATTAATAGAATAAGTTTTGTAAAAACAATTTGAAACCTCATGGAATACTAGTGTAATTTCCGCAACTTCATAGAATGCTAGCGTAATTTCCGAAACCTCAAGTAATTTTATGAACAACAAAAACCTTAAGCATGTCAATATAAATAACCGAAAAAATAAAACAATGGGCTGAAGTGAATTATTTAAAAAGTAAATAATTTATAAAAAAAATAACAAAGAGGAAGAGGGGTATTGATTGAGTGTAAGTTACGTAGGGAGCAATGCATGTAGTGAGATTAAGAGGGGGACAAAGAAAAACAGGGCCAAACGATATGATGTGTTGGGGGACAAGAAAGCGGCTTTTATTTTTGGCCTGCCGGCCTCAGAACGCGACACATAACTTCCTTTCTTCACCACCGATTCCTCAACCTGCTGTTTTTCTCCCACGCGCACCCTCTGCCGCATGCAACTCACCGTCCAATCAATTGCGAGAGCGGTGAGCGAACGGCTGTGATGCTTTTCATCAGAACTGATGAGGACGATGTTAGACTCAGTGAAATTGTATACGCTCGTTAACACCACGAATATACTCTACAAATTCAATACTTGAGTCATGGTAGGAGGGAAGGGGAATTAAACCTAGAACTTTAAGTGCATGGATAAATAATTTTAACTACTTAAGATTACCTTATTAGGTCGTGTTTGGATTTAGGTAATTTTCACATGACAAAACCCGTTGCAATGTATAAGGTGGGTCCTATGATTGAAGGGAAACTGATGAATCATGGGGTTTTGATGGGGTTAGAGAGTGTGATACACATGCGTGCTTGTATTTTTGTGTCACATTAGTAAATGGAGAACAAAAAAAGAGAGAGGAGGGTGTACCATGTATGGATTGAGGATATTTTAATATGTTAAGGAGAGGGGAGATCTCTCCTTACAATCATTAACTGCCAGCACCACCTTTGCACGCTTTGTTCCTAAACCCATTATGCAATTTCGGATTATTTATTTATTTATTTATTTTATTATAAAAATATATTAATAAGTAAAGGGGAATGCTAACAATATTTTCTCTAACCTTCTTCTTTGGACCTTCTCCATTTTTTGTTTGACATGTGTCAATCTCCTTATACTTAAAACAATGTCATTAATATATTATACAAGTTAACTTTTGTTTTCCAAGTTTACCCTTATTAAATGTATTCAATTTATCCAAAAAATTTCACAATTTTCTTACTATATTATTATTATTTTTTAAAGGTCAATTATTTTTTTAAAGAAAATGTCTGCTTTTTTCAAAAAAGAGGAAAGGTCCCTTTTTATTAAAACACAAAGGACTCTTTTTTTTCCTATCTAAACCCTTTATTTTTTTTAAAAAAAAATGGACATTTCCTCTTAAAAGCATATATTTTCTTTATTAAAAAAAATAATTGACGTTAGAAAAAAATTAATAAGATGGTAAGAAATTTGTGAATTTTTTTTGGATAAATTGAATAATTTAATAAGGGTAAACTTAGAAAGCAAAATTTAACTTGTATAATATATTAATGACATTGTTTTAAATATAAGAAGAATGACACATGTCAAGTAAAAATGGGAGAATATTAGAAAGAAGATTACTAGCATTCCTCATAAGTAAATAATTGAATTTCTCATCATGCATGAGAACAGCATCATAAATCATGATCATCATGGGCAGCATACCAATTCCCAAGCTTGTCTTGCATACGCCATCAAGACGCCACCATCTGCGGCTGACTGGCTGGCCACTGAAACATTTGCACTGGCCAAGGTATTGGTTTTATATTTGCAGCTAGCTAGCTAGGCCAACAGGCTATGCCTACGAATAGAATAGCCAGCCGGGCCTGCAACTTACATTAACAACTCCCTCAAATTTCACGGTAATGTACCATGGGAAGCAGACATTGTCACCCTACGCATTGCCTTATTGTGATTTGAATTTTTGTTTTTCAAAAGCAATGGATGGATTAGTAAAGGGCTTGTAACTCAAATGGTTACGAACATTTATTTATGGACCGGACATTTTAGGTTTGATTCACCCTTTTTTGAATTTCGCTTGTATAAAAAAATTAATAAATAAATAAATAAAAAGCAATGGATGGACTGATATTATCTGGCTATAAGCGACTGCGGGTATATAGAATTGTCCAAGAAATTAAATTGTTGGTGTGTATAATAGATTATGGAATAATAATAATAATAATGCTAGTATATACTAAGGTTGGGGCATACTCCACACAAAAGAATGGTGCTCAGAATTGGATTCCTAGTTGGGTTTGGTTTTTTCAAGGTGGATTTGGATCCCGACTTACTTGGTTCGTACGAATATCCTGTGCTAGAGATGATACCATCTCTCATGAATCAGTCAATGGGCGAAAGTTCTCATGGTGGAGAGGTCTATGCTAAGTGTTATGATGAGAGGGGTCAGCCAAATAAGCGAAATAGCAAACAAGGTAACAAGGGGAAATCAAAATTTGAGGGATAGATCGAGTTGCTTCGAGTGTGGTTCTAAAGATCATTGGAAAAAAAGTTGTCCGATATTAAAGGAGAAAATGAACAAGAAGAAAGCTGGATACTCAAATACATAACATGTTCCTAAAGATAGTGACTCTAGACCTTTGGCGATTTCTTTGGGTAATGCTACTTCTCAGGCTTGGATTTTGTTTTTTGAAAAATATGAGGAAGAGGATGGTGGTGATGTTAAAAGGGATCATTTAGATTGCAAGATTCTTGGGTTCTGTACAATGAGGACCATGATGCATGATGGGATTTTAGGTCACCGGATAATGCGAGGTATGTTTCTTCACTAAAGAAAAATAAAATCTTATTTCCTTGGTATTCTAGATCGAAGTGGGTACACATAAGAAAAATTTATAGTTATGACGGGTTCATTTGTGTTTATGAGCGGAGAGATTCAATCTAATAATTTGTACAAGCTTTCAAAGGTTATGGTGGTGAGTGTAGGAATAATTTTTAGTGAGAAGGATGATCTTTACGTATTAGTTAAATTGATGCTTATTTTTTCAATATTGAGAAATTTCTCAAGATGTAATTCACGATATTCATTAATAAAAAGAATAAGGGTAATAAATAGAAAAAGAAAAAGTAAAAAAATATACATGTGCAATTGTAATTGCAAGTAAAATAAATCGAACATATGAGAAAGTGCATCAGACATCGTTTTCTGGACGGATATTGCGGGATGCTGCCATTTACATAGTGCACGGCCGGTCTCCGGCCACAAGCAATGGTCCCAGTTTGGTGCAAACCAAAGAAGCCACTTTGACAAATGAGAATCTCAGGAGGCCTTGTGGGCCTGCAAACTAGATATAATTGTTTTTCCAGCTGACTTGGACTGATCCAACTCAACAACACAATAGTTTCTTATGGGAGTGACTTGCAATATCTCTAAAATAGCCCTCACTTTATTTATTTATTATTTTTTTAGTACAAACGATAGTCTAAACTGTAGGGGGAGGGGGGGGTCTCTCTCTCTCTCTCCCTCTCTCTCTCTCTCTCTCTCTCACACACACACACACGCACACACACACACACTATTAAGGTGACATAGGAATTCAAACTTGAAATCATTGGTTAGCAAATCAAAATCATTTTCCACTGAACTACTATATTGGCATAGCCCGCACTTTATATATCTATCTACTACCATAAATCTAACATAATTACCCCAATTTAACAAAAAGGGCTGCAAAAATAAATCCAAACATTTTTAGATGACCACTCGAGGTATTTACCCACGAGCAAAGATTTCGTGCCAGCAAAAGTAACTATTTTTTCTGTAGCAATTATAAGACTAAAATAGTAAGATTTTTGTAATTTAGTTGCGACAACTCAATAATTTAAATTCCATTGTAAGATTACAACTATTCATAAGCTCCCCATTATGTTATATTTGTGTTTATTTAGATAAATATTGAATATGATGGTTTTGAGGTTTTTGGGTGCTTGATGTAGAATGAAGCGGTTTAGTGATTGTGTTTCGGAGTCATGGTGGCACCCTGTGGCTAGCCACACCATCCCATGCTTGGGTGTGTGGGGAAATTGAGAACCTTATCAAAAAGTTCATCAAGCCCTTTATAGTAACTTTGAAAAAATATATATAATTTGTCATTAGAAAAATACTGGGTGTCCATAGAAGTTTTTGGGCGTGGTAGAAGAAAGGACTTGTTTCCATGTTTCAAAATGGGCAGGCAGTCCATTGAAAACCAAATGTGAGCCACGTGACATGCCTGCGACTCTTGCAATAAGTTCAAAGGTCACGGCCCTTGGTCATGGACCCTGGACCCTTTGTTTTCTTTTTCTTTTTGGTCGAAGGACCCTGGACCCTCTTCCACCGGAAGAGGCTTAGCCCACGTGTGCTGTATGAGAGATTCTGAAAGCTACTTCTAAAGATATAATGCCGGCAGTAGCCACAACATGAACACATCACAATTTTCAATGATTCCTTTCCATGAAAATGAGGAAGCACCAACTTCAAATTTATTTATTTATAAAACTTTTAATTTTTTAATTATTCTAATTTTTCAACATTCTTAATGTTCTTCCTTTATATATAAGCTAGCCTCTCAATGCCAATGCAGATACATCGGGTTTATATTTGTAGGATGTACGAACTCTGCAAGGGTGGAACTAGGTATTCATATTAGGGTAAGTTAGCGTATTTATGATTTTTTTTAGAAGAAGGACAATATCAAATTATCAATTAATCTAACAAAAATTAATATCAATTAATCAAACAAAAATCAATATCAATTAATCTCATCAAAACGCATATCAAATTATTAGTTAAACAAACAAATCAAAACAATGTCATGGAGTAGAGTGGATCCAGGACTCCTCTTATTGCTCATGTTCCATGGAGTGGAGGGTAAGGCTTCATATTGTTTTTATTTTTTGAGAGTTTGGTCCAAAACGACGTTTTTTTTACCAAAACTTAAATAAACAAATAAAGGCGATGCACGCAACAACACATTTGCCAAAACATAAGCTTCACTTAGGCATTTCCTCAAACAGTTGGTGTGCACATCTAAGAAAGAGTAGAGGGGCAAACTCCGTCACCTCCGAAACGTTCTAAAAAATATTGTCTAATAAAATTTGTTGCTTTGACAAAAATTGATCACAACAGTACAAATTAAAATTTTCTAAGCATTCCAAACTCTTAGGCAGCTACAAGGTTATTGGATCGATGTACAAACCTTACCTTAGTTTTTTACTTCTAGAACTCTTACGTAGTAAGCATCATGTTCCAGATGATGTATTACACTTTTTTTTCTTCAACTTTGTCATTAATTGGACAATCGATCTGGATAATCTCTTGATGTTATACAACCTACATAGTGGTTCGTAAAGTACAGATATTAGAGATGTTGTAGTGTAAAAAATCACATTGAATCTAATAACACAGAAAATTATAATTGGTCAAAGTCTTAGAGATTCAAATCTCTTATTGGTGTTTGTTAACCAAAAGGTTTGTCCATAATGGCTTGATTGTTATTGGACTTTCTACATGGTTTGGGTCCAATACGAAATGGATCATCTTAAGTTGGTCGTCTAAGAGATATCTGCTTAGGTTTTGTCTTGTCCTCCTCCATAATCCTTTTTGTTTTGCAAATACGTGGTAAGGAGTTGTCGGTAGCCACGGCATTTGGTTAGGGAGAAAACTATATCTTTGTTTGGGTGGAGGTCGCCATTTGGAATCATGCGAGAGAGTCACATTGTTTGTATTTGGTTGTGAGTGTGATTAACTGTTCCTTGATTGAGAGGCATTTGGTGCATTTGAGGCTTTGGGTTGTGAGGTTGCCAAATGCTTCATAAACAACCCAATTTGTTGATACTAGATTTGTCTGCTCCTAGTACTCTAGAGACATATTCCAGTTACCTGTGAGGAACCTCGTTAAATTCGCCTCTCGTTATTTTCTTGTTCTTGCGCACTTTATTTTCTATATTATTCTACTGATTAGTTTGAGTTGTTTCCGTAAGGCTTGGTGCTTCTACCACAACAACATATATATAGTACGATGACAAGAATAGTAGTAGTGTAATATATTGCCATTTATGTGGTAAGGTATTAGTAAATCAGGTAGCTAAAAGTGTTTATTCAATGTGCTCGAGGTCTTGTGTTCGATTTCCCATCTTTAATATCGCTTGTATCATATTAAACATATAACAATAATCATTTGTAAGAATTGTATATTTAGACCTTCCCCGGAGTATCTAATACCTTGGGATCCATTCTAATACCGGGGTTTAATGCCTTGACGATTGTCCATTCCATTCTATTCTAGAATATATATACATGCGGCTGTGTTTAGATGAGACAGTAATTATTCATAACAATTATGGAGGAGGAGATAATGTGCTGCTGCCACCCCAACTTGGTTTGGTTGGGAATCTTATGCTTGTGATTTTGAAGCACAATGATGAGTTTCCAGATAATCCATTAAAATGAATCGAATGCTGCAAATAATTCACAATGATGATTTTTTGTTGCTTTCTTCTTCTTTTTCTTTTCGGATTAAAATTGAAATCTGACCAAAGGGCTTTGGCTGTTATATATCAGAAATAAGAAAAAAAGAAAAAAAAAGAGGATTGTGTTCAACATCTATATATGTAGCTTGCACTATTTTCTTGACAAATAATATTGTACAACAATATATATACTCTTTTATTTCCTTTTCTCAGATATATACAGTAGCGGCATCACAGAAATAGGCAGGCTTCTGAACAATCACAGTGAGCTTCTCCCTAACTGGAGGCTCGCATGGACAAGCAATTGCAATGAACTTTGGCACCTGATCTCCTGGCATCAGCACTGGCAGGCTCTGTTGCTGATTTTGCTTTGCCATCTGTCGCACAAGGAAACAAAAACCAATCAGATCACAACCCTTCATTTAAATTAAAAAAAACCAAATTAATTTATGTACCATGTTAGGAAGTGCAGGTTTCTGATCCAACTCTGGTTGAATTTGATCTGCAGGGTTGTCTTCCACAGAGGAAAAAATAGCTCGAATCCTGTCCCAATGGAGGCAACACAAGAAGAAGGCACTGATGCTAAGCAAGAGGAACAGAAGAAGAGCCAAGCCAACAGGGAAAAGCTAGATTAGGCCGAGTTGGAACTTCATAATTCTCCATAGTTGTTCTTCTTCTTTTCTTCTTTTTCTGCCTTTCTCATCTGATTTTTGATGACCTGAAAAAGCATTAAGAGAGAAATGATAATTTAAGAGGAGGTGTTTTCTATATATAGGCAAGTGCTTTGTTTTGGAGATTTATTTTAATGGAGATGAGATTAGATGATTTGTGTGAGTGGGGTTGGTATGTAAGATAGTGGAGAAGTGCTCGTACGCTTTATGAGTACTCTATGGTGTGATTCAGTACGGAAAGGGACTGCGTTTTGGTTTGTGTTAACTTCATTTTTGGGAGGTCTTTGAGGGGAAGAAAGTTGGGGCCCTTGGTTTTGAAAAAGCACATGCAATAATACCATGGATGAAAAAGAAAAAAAACAGAGGCAAAGGAGTTTGGATTGAGCGCGGTTTAGGGAAGAAGAAAGTGCGAGTTGTTGAATTAAAAAGAGAAAGGCAATTGGGTTTTGAGCAAAACCAGTAAAGTGAGTGCTAGTGCATGATGATTAATCAAGATATATGACTGTTTCTAGCCATAAACTCTAAGTGGAAGTGTATGATGATTAATCAAGACATGCCTGCTGCTAAGTAGGCTAGCTTTAGAAAGATAAGTTATTATTAACCACTACACCACCACCACCACTTTGTTTTGTGATATTTTTAATGTTGAAAAACATTCCAAATTCAAATCACCATCCTATTATTATTTTTTCTGAAAAAACAAACACATAGTTACATAAGTTTCGTAAATATAGTTCAAATAATTATGTTTATCACGAAGTACATATGTTTTGATGGTATATAAAAATGGAAAAAGAATGAAATTGAGGAATTTTCCATATCGATGCTTCTCCTTGTGGCAGCAAATATATAAGTTTACATTGGGTTGAGTAGCGAAAATTAATTAAGTCTAATTACACTCAAATACGACTCTATGCCTGCAATAAAAATCTTGTTTCCTGTCATCATAACAGATCATATCATGTGCCAATTTATAATAGCTACTAGTCATGATTGATCATACACATCAGCCGTTTTATGTCACTTATGTGGTATGAAAATATGATATTTTAAACATTATTTATATATATATAATACAAATGATATTCTATTTTAATTTAATCTAAATTACGTGAAGATGATTCAAACTCGGGTGCAAAAGTAGGGAGCACATTCACTCTGACAACTTGGCTAAGTCCGTGTCTATAAAAAGGTAAATACATATTTATTTGCATAGAAAATTTTCCTTTAGAATTCAACTGTTTTTTTCGCTCTTAACTAGAGATTTACATGTAAACTAACTAGTCTTGTCTCCCATATTTTCAATGATTGCTATTCTGTAATAAAGGATAAGTATTTCATCCAAATTGATCAATATCATTTGTTGCCAGCTAGCTAGGTCGTCCAGATGATTGATTATGATCAGACTACATACAGGCACGTAAGGCAGAGGCAACTTTTAATCCCTTAAATGTTGAAAACGAAGGGGATAGAATTTGATTTGATGGCTATCTAGCCAGCTACAAAAAGAACAAGGAAATATGAACACGATATACACTAGCTTTTACCCCATTAAGTTTTTGTTTTTTTACTGTCTAGTTTACGTTTCTTGCATTATTTTATTGTCACCTTAGGGCTAATTGTTTCTGTTTCGTAATCATGCTGTTAAGCACAGGTGCTTATAAAGCTAATTACAGTTTTTTACTGGAATATGTCAACTCACATTAGCACTTGGAGCAACATCAACCAATAAATTACTTTCTACGAGCTGCTTCTATTCAGTAACGTTCGGACTATTTATCCTTTAAATATATTATCATATTTGCAAAAACATTAGATAAATATAAGATCACTTCTAATTATTTTTCTTTTCCCCCAAAGTAATGCCCAAAGAGGTGTAGGTCCCTTTTAAGTATTACAAGTTAAATAATGGTGAAATAGATAATCCATGGACAGGATTAGTGCGGCTCATTTTGGGGTTATCCAATAAAAGATGGATTGAATGATTGGACTGTAAAAATATTAGGTCCTTGTCTGTCCCAACTTCAATTAATTGAGCTCTACTACTCCTACTTCCACTTATGACACAGGGCTACCACTTTTATAATTTAGATTAGAATCTAAGTCCGTTGGAAGTTGCTTGCCACAAAGTCCAAATAAAAGATGACATTGGACCCATAGGATTTGGACCTAATTAATTATACAGTTGAAACCATTATGGAGGTTCCTAATAAGTCCCCTAGATTATTTTGCTTGCGAGATTGACAAGTGGCTCGAATATTTTTCAGGAAGAAGCTTATAAATCAGATTGAGGTTCAATTTCAAAAAACGATAAACATGGTTTGCTAGTTTGGTGACTGCTTAGATTAGGGCTGGACTCGGTTTAGTTTGGTTCGAGTTTAGGTTCAAACCGCATACCTAATCGAAAGCCTCAGTGGAGGACTTTTCGACACCCACACCGAACCACCGCGCTAGAAGACCCCGATAATGCCGATTAACCGAAAAGTTTGGGTTAGATTCGGTTCCAGTTTTTATGAACACAAATGAGATAAAGACGGCGTGCATCGTGGTGGCGAGATCTAAACTCCATATCTGCGTAGAGAGAGAGAGAGAGAGAGAGAGAGAGAGAGAGAGACTCAACAAAAAGAAAAAGACAAAGACATCTGAACTGAAACGGTGCAAGAGAATGAGTGTTTAACCCTAACATTTATATATATATTTTTAAGTTTTGGTGCAACTGATATTAGTTATACATACTTAACACAAGATAACTTGTTACCTTGGTGGTTGGCGCTGAGAATGTATGTTGGAGATTAGGGGTTTGAGTTCGACTAACTCCAATTTTTAAATATATTAGTATTTATGCAAACCATTTTGGTTTAGATGAACCGATGGTTTGCAGTTCTTCACGTCGCGAACTGGACTAGAATAGCTTATTAGACCAAACTAGACCGATTGATTTGATCCGGCCGGTTTCACCGATTTGTCGATCCAAATGCCCATCTCTAGCTTAGATGGTTACCTCACCTAATAATCCTAATTGAGCTCTTTTGGTTGTGGCCCATACTTGCTTGGGTCATGTAAAGTTCTTAGATGTGAGTCTCATTTGTAAAACCCACATAAATTCAACTCATGTGCATTGAACATGTTCCAGTTGGATTTCGGTACACAAGTCATTCTATAGTGAGTGTCTTAGATGAGGTCATATATCTTAACGGTTGAATCAAATTAACCCATTTGATCCAACGGCTTAGATGAGGCCCTCATTATGGAATTCTTGTTGGATACATCAATGGATTTATTTGAAAGATTGTCAATAGTAATACATGGATTTTTAACATTGGCTTTGTCTAAAACTTGAAATTTTAATTGCTACAAAATTGAAAGTGATGAATTTTGAATTTTTCCTAAGGGTATTGAATTTTTTACTTGCAAACTTTTTTTTCAATAGATAAATTGGAATATATATATTTTTGAAATAAGAAAATATTACACAAGTAGATCTAACTGGAGTGTGGGCATATATGGCAACCCAGAAGCTTCTGCTATTTCGCCCTATACGCCCTTTCAACATCGTGGCCAGGAAGGGTTTGTCAGCCACACTTGGTTAGTTTCACGATAGGAATGATGTAAAGAATAAGGATGAGCACCATGTAGTAGATACCAAATATGTTGAATAAGTGTCTGAAAATGCCAAGGAGGTGGGATCTGATGATTTAGGGTCTGGATTACAACTTTAGAATCGCCTTCAAAATTGGCAGAGGAGGACTCTAACTTTAAGACTTTGCATTTTTATGTTTCCAGTTCATAAAAGAAATATTATTAGCTTGCAAATAAATACCAAGAAAATGATTTGATGTTCATAAAGTAAAAGAAACATAGTTGATATTCGTAGCTTCATAATTTTAGGAATCATTTGGTTTATATTCCATCGGGATTGTGATTTTGGTAAACACAATGTGTATAGCTTTGCTATTGAGAAGGTCGCAAATTAACTAGAACGAAAACTTGATTTGTCATTCAATTGGGCTGAGATTCTTTTTTCTTATAATTCACATTATTTTGGATTAGGTTTTGAAACATAAAAATTGGATACAATAGTATTTCATTTACCCTCCAATACTCCATTCTTAAACCTTATACCCTATCAACCAGGGACGGATGCATTAAGGGATAAATAGGGTCACTTGACCCTATGAATCTCGGAAAACTTACATGGCAACTTAAATGTTGATCTCATGGAAAATTAGTGGGCAACCCTCAATTTTCCACCAACGCTCAGCGAAATGCCCCAATCGAAGGGCCTCTGAGCTCTCCACTGCCACCCTTAAAGGCATAATGGTTCTTAGATTTGGTCTAATTCTCTGATAATATTATGTGAAACAAACAATTCGATGGAGACATTGAATTGTTTCATTCATCCATAACACACATCAGATAATGCACGGCAAAGTAGAAATGACAGTCAAATTTCCCATAATGTGCAAGAAATTCATGAAAGGGTGTTGCTGATAAAATGAAAAATACAAAAAATGTTTATACTAAGTTGAAGCTGAGATTGGATGGTATGAAACAAAGCAAGTCAAGTTAGATTAGGAGAGTACTCAACAAATTATCTGCCAACAACCTAAACAGTAGTTCTCAAGAGGAACTTTAATAAAAAAGAAGAAGGAAACGTAGTTTTCACAAAATAAAGTTTTTACTATGAAGAGTAGAATACTTTACTTGTTTAGAGTATTTTTTATCCTACGAAAAACTTACGAACTTCTACGCGTTGACTGCTTGAGGCAAAACTCCTGCATCTGCCCTTGCCATAAATTTACCACTTAAAATCTGTAACTGTTGTAAACTGGATTGCAACCTCAATTTCAAGCATGCACCTTTAGACGCTGACAATTCTCTTAGAAACCGGTACTTATCTTTTAGTATCCTCCAATACCTTGATTAAATCTTCAGAATTGAAGCAACATGTCATTGAATATCACAAATTATCCATTACATGGAAGAAAGCATTTAATTGATATTAATTCATACTTGTTCGCATATCTGCATCCTAACTAATCTCTTTAAACTAGTCATGTCACATCATCTGCATTTTATATATGCCAACGAAAATGAATTTGGTGTTGGACTATAGTCACGTACATTGTGAGGAATGGATTGAGCATGGCCCTTCGTTTTAGAACATTAATAAAAACAAGTCTCACTCATAGGTCTTTCGTTTGCCCTATTTACTCTACCTTCTCTTGCACACTCTGAGCTACACAATTACAAATCAACTGTCCTCAGTTTTGATATATTGCTTTTGCTTTGTAATCATGTTGTTAAGCACAGGTGCTTATAAAGCTAATTACAGAAACCCTTGTAAAAGTTTTTGATGGAGTGCACTATGACTTAGCAACATTTACTTCTTTTTTTTATATATACAGGAATATGTCAAACCCACTTTAGCACTTGGAACAAAGTGAAGTGACCGATAAATTACTTTTGCCTAGGAGCTGCTTTTGTTTATTCAGTGACGATAAATTTAGTATCGTCTTTGCAAAAAATTAGATAAATATGAGATTCCTCCTAGCTATGAAGATGAGGTACACTTTTTGGTTTCTTCTTTCAAGTACGACAAGTTAAATAATGGTGAAATAGACAATCCATGGACGGGACATAGTGCGGCTCCTATTTGGGGTTATCCAACAAAAATTAGATTGAATGTGTCTGCTTTTTACTTTATTTTGTTAGTTTATGCTATAAAATTTGAACTTTTGTGATTGTTTTTTCTTGGATGTTTGGTTAACTTTTCCTTAGCAGTAAATAAATAAGTAACACAAAAGTAAAAACCATACTGTGGTGGATGCTAGAGTCATGTCATTTTGCACAATTCTGGGAAGAAGGAAAAATTGGCAAATATCCTACCTCCTGGTGGAAAGGAGTTTCAACATTTTCACCATGATTGGGCTTTTGTTTTTCCATAAAAGTGAGTCTTAGCTAGTTTCTTGGTGATCACAAAAGAGGTTCTCACACAGGTTTTCCTTTTTTTTTATTATAAATAAATTGAATAGTTTACCGTGAACATAAAAATTGTGATTGCTTTTGCAAAATAGAAATTAATACAATTCACCTTTAACCCAAAAGAAGGGGAAAAAAAACCTATCTCCAATTTATTTTATAGAACCAAGTTTCTACTAGCACTTCTGCTATTCAATCATAGAATCGATCCGATCAAGCTGAAAAAAAGCCCTATTTCGTACTTTTTGGGCCTAAATATATTGGACTGCTTTTGCAAAGAAACTTTCATATTGCATTTAGCAAATTGTAAGCATATTTGGACTGCAACATGCATGTAACAATATGTGGTTTTATAACAGGAATTCAACGGTTCACAATCGCCCATGTATTCGATATTTAGAAAATTCACATATGAAATCGTACCCATCATTACAGTAGAGCCTTTGCTTCCAGATGAATCAGTGTAGTATCCTTTATTGGACATACAAAGCGTATGTGTTGGTGTTCAAAGAAATATTTAAGGAAATATCTTGGCACCTTCCTAGATACTCTCTGGAAATGTCTGAGCTCCTTCCTTTTATTGCAAGCTTTATGGTTTGAAGCACATAAAGGTGCATAATTGGGCCTTCCTCTTCTTTTGGTCTTATCAAAAGATTCTTGCCCTTTAAAATTGGCAAAGTGAGTTGAAGATCATGTCAATGCAAATCAAACCTCCCTCTGATACCGTAAAGGAGGAAAATAAGGCATGGTGGGAAAGGACAGATTTAACAATTGAAAGAAAATATCAGCACAATAATTTTACACAAATTACTTTTTTTTATTCTTTTTAGGCACTAATGGATATTCCCTTTGTTGTAATCATGAATCGATATTCTCCACATCTTAATCACCTAAGTCCAATTCTTGAGTTGAGTTAGGTTCAATGGACCTCTAGATGTGGGGTTTTATCACAAATGTCTCGGTGTAATTAGGAGTGGACTACCTATATTTAAAATGTAGATTATTATTATATTCTCCGATGTGCGACTTACACATCATGACTTGTATCGAGCCACCAACACCAACACCCTTAAACTAGTGTAAGATAACTTTTTCTTGGACTGTTGCACTATGGATATTCCCTTGCAAAATTGGTTGAATTTTTCTCAGATCTTCACAGCCGTACATCATTAATATCCATATAAATCTCTAATTGCTACTTGAATTTTGGCATCATTGAACAATGTACTTTCAAATGTTTGAACCTTCTATCCATATAAACTGACAATTTGCACCAAGAGGCATACATATTGAATTGTCATCTGGGCTTTAGAGGAAACAGACCCTACAGATGGAAGTTTCAAAGTCCTACCATCTGTGGTCTTCACAGAAAAAAACATGTAGGTGTGGTTAAGATTGTTTCCCCTCAAGGGTACCATGAAGGGCCATGAATTTATGATTTTAGTTTGCATTTGGGAGCTTGAAAACAGGGCTGCCAAATCGATCAATTATTAGTAGATTGGGAAGAACTGTAGGAGGCATTTCTGCCAGAGTGTGAACTACGCTTAGCTGAAGATCTTTCAAGCCAATTCCGTGAGCAAAAATTAATGGTTGTATTGAAGGTTTTGGTTGTTAACCTATTGTAGAAGGTGACTCTTGAATCTTGAACTTAGTAAACTTGCTCTTGAGATATATGAATGAAAAATGCGGGCACTGATAGTATACTTGCCTTTGGTACTACCTAGTCTACAAGCTATATATTCTATTGAAGGATCCCTAAAATATTTTTATTTGTGGGACACCCTTTATGATTTTTTTACATCGATTCAAGCCGTCTATTTTTCAAGTCCCCATTCATAAATCATCCTTACAAAATCATGCAATTTGAAAATCATTAAAGCATCTATTTGGGATCAACAAAATAGTCGAACACAGTTTTTCAAGAAAATACTATAATAACAACTATTGAATTCAGTGGTCAAATGGTTTTAGATTCAAATGATTTTTTGCAGGGATGATCTTTGAGGGAATATCTAAAAACTAGATAGTTCGTATCATTGAATTACAATGTGTAGTGGGCCCCACAAATGTGTCCCTCAAATAAAAATAAGGGAGTTTTACTAAAACACCCAAAATAGGGACTGAAATTATAAAAAAAACCCAACACCCAAAACACTTTATAAACACACCCAAAACCCATTATTACACACACTCAAAACTCATTTATAAACACACCCAAAAAATATACAATTGTTGATTTTGGGGTTGATTTTGGGTGTGTTTCTATGTTTAAATAGTGCTTGGGTTTTTTTATAAATACATGTCTAGGATTGGGTTTATTTATAAATTTGTATAAAAATAAACTTATTTGAGGAATCATTCAATTGAAGCTATGGATATTTCAAAATCTTATATTTTCATTTGGTTTACCATGAAATTTTGTGCTCATTATGTGATTGTGATTTCTTTATAAAATTTATGTACATGTGTTTAGAAATAAGCAAAGTTCTATACGAGATGATTAGGAGACAATACAAGTCTGAAGAAGCTCTAAAACAAGAATCTTAAATTGGTTCATAAGTAGACTTTTGATTTGAAGAGGCAATTATGGGCTAGATTCAAAAATTTCTTGACAAAGCATATGAAGATGCATCACATGAAGATGCATCACATCAGGTTGGTCGAGGAATTAGACGAGCCAATCTTTGCACAAGAATTGGACTTCATTCATTAGGTATCATATGTGTGTACACTCCCAGAAGATCAGTGCACTATATCGATTTCACTGATGTATTTCGTTAAGCAGGTCTCCTTTGAAATTGGTTTCCGAATAACGAGAACATGGTAATTTGATCGATTCAAGACTTGCGAAAATTTGGTTACGACATTCTTGGACTTATTCATAATAATCTTGCTTACCAAGCTTGTCTCATGCATATGGGATCACCCTATTAGCGAGATCACTGGCACTGCCAACGCTCAACGCTCAAAAGGATACAGACCAATCATAAAGAAATTACTAAAAACATTTTCTATTTTAGATGCTAACCGTTTCTATATTTTCTGGAATGTGCTACTAATCTTTTAGTATCCTCCAATACCTTAATTAAGTAGCATTGGATATCACATATTATCCCGTACATGGAAGAAAGCATTTAATTGACACTAAGACATACTTGTTCTCATATCTATATAGTCACTATGCCTTTAAACTAGTCATATCACATAATATGCATCTTATTTCTGCCATTGAAAATGAATTTGGTGTTGGACTATATAGTCACGGACATTGTGAGGATGGGATTGAGCATGTGGCCTAGGCTATTTTCTTAGAAAGCTTGTAATGAATTAATTTTTTTACAAAATTAATAAAAACAAGTCTCAACAAGCAAATTTGTAAAAGGTGACTTTTGAATCTTTAACTTAGAAAATTTGCTCTGTTTTTGAGATATGTGGATGAAAAATGCAGGCTCTGTTTTTGGAAAAATACACATGGCAAACTTGCTTTTGGTACTATCTACTCCACAAGATAAATCTGGGCACTGATGTAGAAACAAAATAATTATATATACACTACTTACAGGTCAAAATCTATATTTTCATTTTGTTTACCATGAATTTCTGTGCTCATTATGCGGTTGTGCTTTCTTTGTAAAACTTCTGTGCATGGGTTTAAAGATAAGAAAACTTCTGCAAAAGTTAGTGGCTGTGAAAACTTGAATTGAACCTTTAATTGGTCACCGATGGGAGGCAAGAGTCTATTTCCTTCCTACCCCTTCTTTCCCAATGCAACCAAAAGAAAAGGCCAAAGAAAATTAAACAATAAGAATAATTTGTCTACATCCGCTCTTTATATGCAAAATATAACGACATAAGATTCAGCTGGCAGGCAACTACATCCATAGAAAGCTTTTCTTTTACAGCATCAATCCTTTTCTCTATCCAATTTTATTTGTAATCAATCGACAACCAACATCACCAAAGGGAAGTTGGTTGTGTCAATTCACTTCAACATGGCTCTTCTAGTTTGAGTATTTTTCTTGGGCACTTCAATTTTTATTTCATTTTTTGTATAAGTGATATTGTACTTTAAATTCATCTCAACTACGGAAAAGAGGATTTGAACTCGAGTGTAGAGTGAGGAACACGTATGCTTTAGCCAATTTGGCTAAGCCCATGTATGCAAAAGAAATCTTGGGCACTTAAATTTAAATTTAAATGTAAAGGACACTCTTTTTCTCCTCTTGGGAGTGTAGGAATACAAAATACATTGAAGAAAATTGTACTCCATGAAAATTATTTATTAAAGAAAGACAATTACAACCTCTCAATTGCAACCCTCATTGAGAATCCAAGATTTGGGAAAGAAAAAGAAAAAGAAAAAAGAAGCCATCTCCTCAAAAACTTTATCACAGAGTTCATCTTACTTTCCCTATCCCATTTGTTCTTGCAATTACAAACATCTTCCTCCATATCCTGCATTTCTAAACAGTGCTTGCTTTATGTCTTCAGAAGTTACTGTTGTTCTCTGATCAAAATCCTGTTTCCATGACATCAATGAACACAAGAGAACATTAATTCAACACTTCTCCAACTAAACAAAGAGAATATATATGTTGGTGGAAAGCAGAAAAACCCAATGCCATTGTGGGCATCTCTGAAAGCGAAAAAGCCAATTGCATACCTCTGAGCAAGAAGCTTGCATTGCAAAATCATTGAAGCAACTAATAACACACTGTTGAATCTCAAGACCCAAAGCTTCCAAGGTAGACACAGTAGATAATAACAGCCCTGGCTTTCCTGCACAGCAAATGTCAATTCTGGTGTCCACATTCCTCCTTTGCACATCAAACTGCAAACAAATCAAACAGAAATTAATGTCCCATTCAGATTTTGGGGGTTTTTATATATATATATATATATATATACACATAATTATTTTTAGTTTGAGCTTTTATTTGAGGGTCTAAAAGTGAAGTGGTTGAAGCAGAGTACATACCTTTGGTGAGTTTCTCACTAACATTTCATTTGGTTTCACATCCTTGAAAAGGCTCATCACATTTAACTGATCTGCATCTGTTTCAATTTCTTGTTGCAAATTGTTGATTCTCTCCAGGAGCTCCTTCATGTAATCTATGGTGTCTCCAAGTATAGATGTTCTGTCCATCTACCAAATTGACCAAATTAGCCTTCATACTCAACACTAATCATATTGTACATACATGCATTCTGCAAATTTGAGCAGAAGAGTGATTTAATTACCTTACTTATCTTGGGCACAATTGATCTTAGCATCGAAAGGCGGTCGTTTAGTCTCTTTCTTCTCCTTCTCTCAGCCATTAGATTCTTTGAAGGCTGCCCCTGCAACTTCTTGCTATTACCCCTGTTATTTCTCTCCTCACACATCCCCATGTTGAAAACTGGGACTTGATCAGGGGACTGAATTGGCTCCATTTTGCAGGCTGCTTCAGCTTGGGTCTCCAAGTTGTGTATTTCATCCCCAAGCAAACCCAACTCTTCTTCTTCAAGCATGGACCATGGATTGTCCTCTTGGACCGGAAACGGCGGCGTATCGAGTGTGTTGTAGGATGAGTCAGTGAGCTGCTGTTGAGCTGAGAGGCCATCTTCACCAGCACCAAAGCCTAAGGGATAGTAGACTTCATTGAAGGTGGTGTTGTTGTTGTTGTAGCAGTTGCTTAAGTTTGGCTCAAATGCAGGTGAGAATTCTTGGGTGCAAGAAGAGTTTGGGAAGAAAGTTGGAGGGTTTTGATCAAGGTAACCAAAATTACCCCAACTGCCACTACTGGACAAGAACTCATTCATTTCTGTTGGAATGGTTTCCCATGTACTGTCTCTTCTTAGAGCTAAAAGCTCCTCTAAGAAACTATGCTCACTGAGCTCCATTTCTTTCTTCTTTTTTTTCTCTCTCTATTTCTCTTGGGAATGTTTCTGCTGCTAATTAGGTAAGTGCCCTGATAACAAGAAGATGCACCAAGTGGAACATTTATATAGGAGCAAGCAGAAAAGGCTAGTTCCATTATTATAATACATTACAGTGTACATTATGTTTCTTTATTAGGACCCTAATGCCTAAGATTTATTCTTTTATTTTATTTTATTTTATTTTTGTCTGAAGCCTAACATTAATATGGAATCTACCTTTTCCCCTCTCTCTCTCTCTCTGTGTTTCTCATCTTGTTCACACTCTTGCTTATGCCTATAGGGTAGAGAAAAACTTGAATAGGGTTTGTGTCATGCGGCGGTGTTGGGTGACAAAATAACACAATTAAGATATAATACATTATTTATAAATAAAAAAATTATTTAAACACGTGTCATTTTTTAACTTGATTGTTTTGACACTCAATAAAAACTGCCTTGGACTGAAAACTATTAGCTATGGAAGGGGAGAGATTTAAAGTCTTTTTCACCGAAATCTCTGCAATCAAACAAACAAAATATTTAATTGTTATGCTCGGAAAATTTTGACCCACACTTTCTGTCTGAACCGTGAAGGATGGGGTTAGCATCAAAGACTCTGTCAGGTTCCTTGTATGCTTGAGCTCAGTGATATTAATTGGGCATGAACATCCACCACCCTCTCTCTCTCTCCTCTCTCTCTCCTCTCTTTGTGAGAAAAATGGCTGAATTGGGTCCCATGCATCAATTCCTCCAAAATTTGGCTGAGCTCACAATTTCAAATGAGTTGGTGGGCCTCGTTTTACTTAGAATTATTCATCTAATTTAGTTTTAGGAACCTATTTCGTTAGGGATTGTTTCTTTATGAAGTACATCTTTTAATAAAAGCGTTTTTATTATAAATATTTTGCATTTTTATTATTAAAAATCTAAGTATTTGTTTTTGAAAAAGCCAATTGCTTTCTAAAAAAGCATATAGTAAGTGCTTCTCTAAAAATCGCTTACATGACCCATAAACTTTTCTAAATTTTTTTGCTAAACGATGTGAGAAACACTTTTAGTTGCCATATGACCATTCTAGACGCACTTCCCACATACCCGTTCTAGAAGCACTACCCCGTGCCCATTCTCTTCCTTTTTTAGTTTTAGGATTAGGTATAATGTTAAGGTTTTTGCCTTCATGCCTCACCTATATATGTACTTCTTTGACATTTTCAAGTGAAGTGTTTAATACTATTTAGTTAAAATTTGAAATTTATAACACATGACATATTTTAATTGAACAATACATGTCATCGAACATGGAAATTCTTCGATGAAATCTTTTTTCTCGGGTAGTCATCGGTACTATTAGAATACAAATGTAATTAAATCGTAAATACCTTTGCATATTAGTATATTGGTACTAACCTAAAGACTCATTTTGGCATTATCTTTGTGGAGTTTTTTTAGTATTTCATGAATAATAATATACATAGCCTTCCTTGGGGCTATATATAGTTATTTATTTGTGTGGCTGTTTTGGCTTATACGATCAATGCATTATTTGGCAGTCGACATATGGGGCATTTTTTGTGCATGTAGGGTTTTTTGGTTGTTTTTTTTTCTTTTTTGGGGGCGTGGGCGTCGTTGAATTACCAAAGAGGACAAAGTGTTGGTGTTCATTTTCATTGTTGTTACTATTATGACCCTTTGTTTGTATTAGCAAATTTCCTGGTAGGTAATCTGGGAATCTGAATAAAAACTATGATTTGAAGGTGGCGACATACAGCCCCATCCAAAATGGCGGTGGTACAGGTTTGACTTCGCAGCTTTTTTGAGATTTTGTTTCTATGTCTAAAGTCTAATAATAATGATGGATTGTTGCCACAACACGTCTTGTGTAAAAACACACACGGCCGCAAAAGGATAACTACTCCATCAGTCGATTCAATGATCTAAATTCACAGTTAAACACGTTACGATGAAAATCAATCAAATTATTTGTCTAAATTCACAGTCTAAATATTTTATGTTGTGAGGCACTCAATCCGGTAATAGAATCCTTCCCTATTTCATAAGGAAACTAGTCTTTTTAGCTACATGATATATATATGCATTCGTAAATAAGAGTTGTCCATCATTTCTTAGCGAACTTATGATGCGTTATCGAATTGTGAATCTAAACAACACATTCAGATAAATGATATTGTGACGATGGAAATCTAGATTAGGCTCTAGCTCATTACCATGTTTAATCCAAACCATGTGTGGCTATTTCTCAGTGGAGTGCTAGTGATTTTGCATATAGCTACTACTGCGTAGGTAGGCCATGCGGGGGTACATCTTGATCTTGTTGTTTTTATGGCATTATAAAAATATATAGTGTGTAAAGGACGTGCTAATGTAATGATTTGGAGTCTTTATTTCCTCAGGCAAGGTTCTGAATTCGAATCTTAGTATCCGTGAAGTGTATGTGAGTTTAGTATATTATCCCCCTCTTAATAAAAAAAAGTCCTTAATTTTTTTTTAATATATATATATATCGCGTCTCTCTTCAGAGTATTTTGAAAGGAATTAAATATATAAACAAGGGATAAGCCTGTAAATCTAGTTGAACCCGCCCACGGCTGTGTTGTATGGAAATGTGAGCTAGCTAGCTAGCAACTAGAATTTATTCTGGTTTCTTAACCAAGGGCAGACAAATTCTTGTACCAGTGTTCCTAAACTAATTATGTTTAGAAAAAAGAAAGTTGATTAAACCAGCTCTCTATCTAATCAGACCATTTTGGTCTCTTAATGAAGTGATTATATATGAACCCAAAAAGCTATGAGGAACCTCAGTCACATGCTTCATGAAACAAAACAAGCAATTGAACAGATCAATTCTAGACACGTGGGGAGGAGCCTAGGCTACCTATTTTCCTAGTGATTATGCACCTGGGGCATTAATTATGATTAGTTATGAAATTAAGAAGAAAAAATGGGTAAGTAATTATCTTTGGAACCCTCTAGATTATATATTAAAATATTCAGGTGGGCACGGTTTGTTTGTAATAGAAAAGGACAAAAGAGAAAGAGGTTTTTTTATTTTTTTATTTTTTTATTTTTTTAATGTGTGTGTGGTAGTGTTGACTCTCTTTGATTCAATTTTCTAAGCAGCCTCGCGGCTATTCTGTGTACCAAATGATGAAACATGCAACAAATGATGAAACTTGTTAGAAATTATGAACCATTTTCATCATGGTGAAAGGCAATTTACGCTTTAATATACGTTTTTGCTCTCCATGTTTGCGAATTCTAATCCTGGGTTCTTCTATTATATAATTGGATTTAAATGGTCAAAAGTAAAATGATGAAAATAAATTACTATGTAAGGGCAACTGATCAAGGGTAATATGATGTGCAAAATTGAAGTTTCACTCTTAATGATAAATGTTGTAAAATTCAACAGCATTGGGTGTTTTTAAGTGTGATTTTATCTCAAAAATCATAGTAAATTTATATTTAAGATTGGACGGTCCCTTATCATATATGAGATAATTGTATTTGATTCACACAATTTCAAACCATTTCAATCATTAAACAAGCGCTAAATCTCAAAAGTTTAAGATACTAAGACGTGAGTGAAAATTAATGTATAATAATAAGTTAATACTTCTCTTCTTATGTTGCCAAATTATGTACATAAAGAGAAATACTATATATAAACTGGTGTGTATAACCTAAATTAAACATTAATGAGGAAGGAAGTTAGAGATTTCGAATCACGACCTCTACACATTACGTTGGAAAACTAGTGAACTCCAAAAGCATTAAATTGTTATAGGAACTAAGTCGGAATTTTTCACCCATAATTTTGTAAACAAGTAAATATAAGTTAGGTTAGTTGGCCAAATTAATGTACCCGTCCTTTTGCACTGAAATTTGATTCTCATCCTCGTATATTAGAGTAAGTTCCCACATGCAAGCGCGGCTAGTGATAGATGGCATCTGAGCAGGTACCCACGTGTCACGTGCATGGCAGCCCCTTAGAAATCGCGAGGTTGGAATATACTTTATGGTCCGTGTGCATTGGTTGATTTCGGGCAAAACCAACAAATTTGATGTGCGGCTTTCAAAAACCGACCCAAATACCAACCCAACAAGAGCTGACTATTCACTCACCCCAACACATGCATTAGAATTCAGATCTAGCTAATTTGTCTTATTTATGCTAATTATTAATTAACTAATTTGTTTTTTCTTGTTTTATGATAACTCGTGTACGGTTTGTTTGTTATATAATATGTGTACCTTGTATATATTTTGGTCGGGTCGGGCCTTTTATCTTCAAAAGCAAACAACTAGGGTTTGTACTAAACATTATTATATTCATGGGAGCTCTTGAAAAACTTAGTTGCAAAAGAGATAGCACAATTATGCTATGTTATATGAAAGTGTTATCGCGTATGTCATAAGGTTATTGATTGGGGATGACAAAATAGTGATATATTCCGTTTTATGAAAGTCTTTCTCCTTGAAATCAGGCTTGAAGTAAGCTATTTTTATATCTAAAATAATAAACCCAATCATCTTTGTTTTTGTTTTCGTGGATAAATTAGTAATGAAGCTAAACCTCCCTAAATCTTCCACATTTTTTTTTCTCATCCAGAACTAAACGAGAATCTTTTGACTTAAAAGTCGACAATTAACTTCAAATACTTTGCGGGCAAAACTCAGCTGTTTCTTTCCCATAAGAAAACAAGAGTAAGGAAGGACAATGCAATCTGGGAAAGAGGAAAATTATATCTGTAAGACTGTACGTTTTGATGCAACCTTACATGTGTAAATTCTTGTCAGTCTTTCTGAACTTTGGATGGTCCATATTTTATAGCACATGATTCATAATGTTCTAATTTAGTTTACCCATCTCTCTCACATCTGGCTAGATACATATATTTGTTTTGTTTCGCTACACAACTTCTTTGTTCTTGATCATTTTTAGACTTACGGGATGTAACTTG